AAAAAAAAAAAAAAAAAATCACTGCCCGACAACTCTCAACAGACTGAATAAAAATGTCCAGGTAACTGTAAGTACCACAAGCCTGCACATTCAAAATGAGAAGCTCTTCAGGCCTTAGATATTTGTCTATGTTTGTCTGACCTCACAGTCCTATCCCAGCAGTCTGCCCTCAAATCGTCTCATTAGCCAGCGTCTCCGTAGAGAGCCAGATCTTGGCTCCGTTGAGGAACTTGCTAAGAGGAGACCCTAGGATGCCGGGGCGACACAGGTTACCCACAGGAGAGAAAGGAAACGAGGAGCTGAGGTACTCTGGAGGAGCAGGGGGCTGGTGAGGGGTCGAAGTCGCCTTAAAGTACATTTTGCTGTGCTCCGCGTGCAGGTTGTTAGGAGTACCGCCTGCTCCTTTGTACTGCCTCAACTGGTTCTGGAGCATGTCAATCTCATCTGTGAGCACCGAGAGCTTGTGGAAGGCAGTGATGGGGCCGCCCTGAGGAATCTGAGCCTCGGGAACCCAGCGCAGGAAGTAGAGCTTCCAGACAGAGAGGTGAGATGGGAGGAGCTGGGGGAGCAGCAGGCCCTGTAGGTCGACAGGACGAGAGAAAAAGTCCCGAATGAAGCGTTCCGATGGGGTCTCCTGCTGCTCCCGCACCTGAGACAAATCAGAACGGAGACGCAGCACGAGGGAGTTCCGGCGCGCCAGGGTGTCGTTCGGTCCAAGCGATCCATTTCGCAAAGCGGAGGGCAGACCCCGCAGCGTGGAACTGTAGTTTTTCTGAGGGAGTAGCAAAAAAACTATTTTCTATTCCTCAGTCTTTTAAAAAACATTACTTTAGAGATAACAAAGTCAACAGCACACAGACTAGCAGAGATCGAGAGCTCACCTTGCTGCGCCTGTGTGTGAATGTCTTCACTGTGCCGTTCTGCACACAGGTGGCGATCTTGCCCACGTACAGGGGATTATTAAAAAGAGTCTGGTCTTTTAGACTGAACTGTTGAGACCAGTCCCACTAGACTATTTAAGGAGTGATTGCTGACTGTGTTTATTGTTAATAATGAACAATTAGGAATATATGAAAACATAAAAATGATTTAAAATAAAAACACAACAAAGCATCTTCTTTATGCACCAAGAGCTTGTAACACTCCAAAGAGAAAGGAAAAATTGAAATCGCATCATATGACCCCTTTAAACATTTCACAATATTACAGTTTTTACTGTATTTTGATCAAATAAATGCAGCCTTGGTAAACATAAGACTTTTCAAAAAACATTCAAACATCTTACAGACCCCAAACTTTTGAACACTAGTGTATAACTTGTTATATATAAACATATAATAATGATATACATTTAATTCAACTAGTTTAACTAAATGAACTAAATTAAAGCATCTAACCCTGCTGTGCTCTGCTCTTTGCCTGTAGGACCATTCACACGTTCATAACTATTAAGTTTTAATAATCATTATTAAAATTTAAATGGAATAAAGGTGTGTGTATAACTCATTAAACCAACTTATATTAAAATTCTTCAAAAAGCATCTAACCCTGCTGTTCTCTGCTCTTTGTCGGGGGCAATTGAAGAGGAAGGTGCTGAAGATGGGAACCCACATACTGTCCCCCAGCACTGTCAGGTACACCTCAGTGAACTCAAAGGCTGCTGGGTACTGATTCCACAGCTGCCACACACAGTCCAAGAACAGCAGGAACACAGGAGACTGCAGAGAGAAATAATATGAGCAATGAAAAAAAATCTTCACATATATGAAAGAAGTGGGCCACATGTGTGCCTCATACAGTCGATGAACAAACAAGATTCTGGAATCCAACTGATAAACAATGTACTACCTCCTCTTTGTCATTCTTCTTCAGATGGTTGCAGCGGTCCAGGAACCGATGCCCAGCCATTACCCATTCCTTCTGAATCAGACCCTGGAAGCCATGCAGACTCCTGCAGTGAGGATCGCACATCAGCTGCACCAGACAGGAAATCACACAACTCAGGTCCCGATCCTCTTTCTCTGTGCACACACATACAGAATAAAGAGGATCATTTATCACTTCACATAAGATTTACAAGATATTACATTTGAGATATTAGATTTGACTATAAGAGACAACAGAACAATTAAAGGAATTGTTTACCCAAAAATGAAAATATGCTGAAAATGTACTCTCCCCTCAGGCAATCCTAGATGTAGTAATTTTTCACCATTTTTGCGTGAGACAAATGGTGGTCACACCAGATACTGACTGGTTTTCGGAGCCCCCGGGGCCCCCCAATACAATAAAACTGCACATTTTAGAGTGGCCTTTTATTGTGGCCAGCCTAAGGCACACCTGTGCAATAATCATGCTGTCTAATCAGCATCTTGATATGCCACACCTGTGAGGTGGATGGATTATCTCGGCAAAGGAGAAGTGCTCACTAACACAGATTTAGACAGATTTGTGAACAATATTTGAGAGAAATAGGCCTTTTGTGTACATAGAAAAAGTCTTAGATCTTTGAGTTCAGCTCATGAAAAATGGGGGCAAAAACAAAAGTGTTGCGTTTATATTTTTGTTCAGTGTATATATAACAGGATGGAGAAAAAAAATATCTGTATCATAACTGTAAAAGGGATTTTTTTACCTAGAAGTATGACAGGCACATTTCTGCTCTCCAGCATATAGACTACCTCTACTGCATGCCGTAGAAATGTTCTGTAAAAAAAAAAAAATGCATACCACACAGCATCAATATCTACAGACAAAATTGTTGAGACCTAAATAAACACCTGAGAATGCACAAACAGAAATCTATGCCTGTTGCCAACATTTCTGGCACAAAAGAACTTCTGGCACAAGCTGAGAGATCAAGTATGGTGACTGGTGACTACTGAGTGTTTCTCAATCATACCTGACATACTCCATCCATCTTGAGCTCTCTAAGGATGACAGCCACTTCTCTTCAGACTCCTCAAAGGGATCTGCATATGCATATAAATATAGAAGCAAGCAGAAAGACACATTAGAGCCAATGCCGTTTCCACCTGGTATTAAGATGCTTTTTAAATGCGTCTCCTGTGTGACCATCTAGACCCCCTCCTCTTATTTTGTCACACTGTAGATTCTACAGGAGAGTCAAATGCAGCACACAAATATGACTAAATAAATGAAGCCATTACTCTGCTTACAAGTAAATGGGAAAGGAATAAAATGGAAATAATAAACATGGTAATGCCGATTTGGATCGACATATTGACACTATGAAAGCAAATGGTCGGCAGCGGACAAGCTCAAAACATTTTAGACCCTGTTTACACCTGTATTTAACATCGTCCACTTGTGACAGGATTGACAAAAATGCATCTTAATAGTGTAAAGAGGGTCCAAATGGATACGGCAATAAACAGATGACTTACCACGAGTCAGCTTTGATATCATTTTACAGATTTTCATTCTCTGAGTTAGAGTATCAACTGTTTAAAAACTTTTCCAACTAATATGTTTTTAATGGCACCAGGAAGCACTGTGTGGGGTTCTTGGAACAATCTAAAACATTCCCTTATCATAGCCCAGACTTGATCTAAATTATTAACATGAATAAGCCTGGTAAGGATTTCCTACAGTCTTATATGTGTACCGCAATCATCCCTTTCTCAAACAGGGTATTATTGATTACCTATAACACAAATCTGCCTCAGTTTCAGCAAAGCAGCCTGAATATCCTGGATGTTTGGGAGGTTTTTGTCCAAATCCGACTTGAAAACATCACTGCGGAGGGGGTGGCTCTTAGTGATGGCACTGGAAATCCTGCAGAAACACAGAGGATTCTTTGTTTTTTTGAATATGACTGCCTGTATTGTTGGATCTGAGCAGATCTGGCAACCCCACTGAGCTCATGTTGTCAAAAGATCTGAGATGAGCAAACAAGCACAATCACAACTTCTGATAAGTTTTCCCAAATCATGAGATAATATATATATATAAAAAATTGCTGTTCAGAGTATATTATCAGCCAAAAGAGAATCTACTTTCTCACAACAGTACGATTATTGTTTAATTTCTCCTTAAAATGGTTTCTCTCTTTCTTACCGCTGCTCCACCTTCCTCTGCTGCTGCGGGTCACTGATGTTAGACATGCGGACCAGAGCACTCCCACTAGAGTGATTCCAGCACCATAACTACAAACCAAAGCGCACACACACATAAAAATACTCTTCAAATGTCTAATATGAGCCTACATAATATGTTGACACACACGGTTGACTCACAACTATTAAGTGCAAATCAATCTACCAAGTAAGACTTTTAGAGCTTAAATAAGACATGGTTTCTCATTCTGCAAAGTTTTTAATGAAGACACTAACTGGTGACTTTCTCTCAAAGTAAGAGCAAAACAGACTGGGGTAGTAAAAGTAATTTGTAGATTTCCTCCTCTTTCAATCCAAAACCAATAATCTAGCCTGTTAAATGGCGCTCACCGGGATACGCTGGGAGTAAAAGAAGCAGGCGTATTGCTTCAGATCCTGATCCGCTAGAGATACCGGAACCACAAAGAATTCTGGGAGACTGCAAACAACAGAAAAAAGTAGTTACATTTCACATAAATGGCTCCTGACAGTGTGAAGCACAGTCAAATATGTGATGCTTCTTTGTGTCAGTATTATAAACACAATGACCTGATAAGGAACTGTGTGTGGATCAGTGAGATCAGTGCTTTTATTCCAGAGGATTACTGCAGAAAGGACAACATTCCTGTCTGTCTGAGCAGATTTATGTGATCCGGTCATAATTTAATCAGTTATCACCGTCTTATCAGGAGATTGATTAGGATGACTAATTCAAGTCACTTTAACAATAACCATTTATATTGTACATACTCATCCCTGTGTTTCTGTCACATTCACTTGTTACATGAAGGTTATGAGTCATGCAGCAATGATCTTCAGCTTAAGGTGCTTATAATACAAGCCGTTTGCAAAATAGACCACAATTTACATGTAAATTCACATTTATACATTTACCTGGGCGAGATGAAATAGCCTTGATTTATGGTACACACTCTCCATTCAGAGGCACCAGTACGCTTGATCTCTCTGTCCCAGTCTGAGGAGCAGTCGAACAGGGTGGTCTGCATCCCCCCACCAGGGTCAATGCCGTTCATCCGCTCACCTGAACAAACCACACGTGTACATGCTCAAACAGCAGTGCAGGGATGCTAACTCACGAGGGGTGAAAAATATGACTTTTTATAATAAATGTTTTTAAAAGTATTAGATAAAGTAAAAAAAAATTGGACAATGGACCCACACTGCATATATAAAGCCTCTTCAGATCTACTTTATTGACATATTTTAACATTAATTTACATTGAATTTACAATACAGCCCAATAATAGCAGCCATATAAATCTTAATATTCATAACTTGAGCACTTTGCATTCCCTGGCAAGTCTTCTCATGTCCTGACTTGCAGGGAAACTGAATGTATGGACAGCTCAACTCAAGTTTGGCAGCTCTTGTGGAAACAGTGCGAATCATTTGCGGTCACGGCCACACATGTGTTTTCTTACCCGTTGATCCATGGTATCGCTTTCCGACGTATTCAAAGCCAAAGAGTAGCTGTGGGTCAGCAGGATGGGAGTAATGAGCGATGGCCAGACAAACCTGTAAAAGCAAATCATATATTCACATGATTAACACAAAATGACCTTCACTGTTTCACTGCAATTTCTTCAGAAAACAGAACTGAAATGTCATTACAACAAATCCCTCCTTCTTTCGTCTCACAATACAACTGTTGACATTTACTAACAAAATGTTTCCAGACCAATTAACCCTCGCAAATTCCAAATGCTCCATTACAAATGAGAAATGTACACCTCTAATCTTTGGAAGGGCATTTGGAAGAGAAAATTAGCCTGTGCTGAAATAATGCATACAGAACTGATATTTCTGCCACTGGGCACTGATAATCAGCACCTGAAGTGCTTGATTTAAATTCTAGGCACAAAACACTGCTAAGGTGGTTTGTCCCGAACTGGTTGATATCCTCCACCCTCAGGACTGCATGGTGAAGTTTGTGAATTGTTCTTTCTTTTATCGGTTTGTCTACAACACCTGTTGGTTAGTTCCTCTGTTTATTCCTTCAGAAGAGCTTTTCTTGGCACAGCTGTCGGATACAGGCATGGAAACATTCAACAACACTGTGCACAGAGCCCAAGCTAGGCTGGACTTTCAACCTTTACGACACCATCAACATTTCTCTTGCTGTATATTACATATTTCGCAGATGAGTCTTCAAATAACAAACGTACTCTGCATGACCGACGTCCCACTTGCATGGAAAGGGAGAGTTCACCCAAAAATGATCATTCTGTCATCATTCACTCGAGTGAAAAATTTAAGGGGGTCTGAATACATTCCGTACCCACTGTATGTTTTCATATAATTTCATTTTAAAGGTGTAGTTCACCCAAAAATTCAAATTCTTCCAAACCAATAAGAGTTCATCATCGAAACACAAATAAAGACATTTTTAATGAAACCTGGGAGAGTTCTGTCCCTCCATAGTGTTTTGAAGTTGAACAATAGTCTTATGGATTTGGCAGAATTTTCATTTTTGGATGAACTATCCCTTGTATAAAAACAAGAGTTGAAACCCAGAAAACTCGTTCACACAGAACGCGTTTTTGTATTCCACTGTACAAATTGTTTTATTTTCTATATAAAAATGTGCTAGATGTATTAGAAGTCTTTGACCATTGAGCTTGTGTATTTTGCAGCATCTTCTGCGTGACACAGCGTTCTAAAAACATGGCACCCAAGTTAAAAGAAGATTTTTTTTTTATTCCACTGCCCTGCATTTCAACACAAAAACGCATTCTGAGTGAATGGCCCCTAAATCTTGTGCTTCTCAAACAAAGAATTGAATGCTTATATTGGTAAAAGGACAAAAACGTACTTTTGTTTGCCAGCAGTGTTTCCCTATGAAGATTGGTGTAGGAAACTCTAAAGAAGAAAATCCTGGACTAGGGACAGACGTGCTGGGAATTACCAGTGACCACTGTATAGACTGATGACACATTAGGCATGTGAATTGAAAAGAAGCTCTGTAATTTCCAACTGGATATTATGAATTTACCAGTTGTTATATTTGTTCCATTTATTTTTTTCCCAAGTGTCTATGCATTAATTCCACTCAGTAATTAGCCTAGCCTACAGGAAAATGACACATTAGAATCCAAAAACACACATTGAAGGAGTCTCTCCTTCACAATCCAAATACAATATTTGACATTTACTTCCATTTTAATCCAATCAGAGCCGAGATGCCTAGAAAACTACTCGCATCAGATTCCCTTAGGCTCCTCCATAATACTAGCACCAGAATATGAATAAGCAGTGCGTGTTGCTACGGCTGTCAAGGAAACGCACTCTACTTGCCCTTCACGTAAGCTCCATAGTTTTAGCATTCACTGGCACTGAGGAACAAAAGCATCAGAGAAGCTCTGGAACGGAACTTCAGGATAAATGCGCGTGTTTGCTAAGCGCTCAGAAAGTGAGAGCCGCGCTCAAAGGGCTTTTTGTTTCTCTTGTTTCTTGTGGTGCTTTTCTTGCCCCTTTCTCCCCCTTCCTTCACACATTCTCGGGACCTGGCAGACTGTTTCGAGCTGAACTCTGGCACCTCTTTTTTCTTCCTCCCAATTTACTTCACTCCTTCTATACCTCTAGTTATTCCCCTTGAAGTTTGGGCCTTGTATTTGGTGGGTAACTGCAGGTGAAAAGCTTGGCTTCCCTCAGTCTTTTTCTCATTACTGAAAGGAAAACTCCCTTTTCCGCTTCCAAAAACATAAACAGCTCTAAGTGCAGCCTTTGAGAGTCTAGTGACTAATAAATGATGACTAACAATCATTCCAAAGATGCTGTGGAAACCGTTCATTTCGCTCTGAGTCATGCTATAGGAATGGCCAATCAGGGCTCGTTATACTGCAGGAACGACAGCCATTGAGTCAGGAGCACAATGTGGAATGTTCGTTTTACACAAAGTTCCATGTTGCCAGGCAACAGCAGCTGTTGTGAAGCAACAGGATGGGTTTGTAGGCTGGTGTGAGTCACAGAGCTCAGAGTTCATGGTATGATCAGATCAGCTTGTATAAAGAGCTCTTTTTATCTGCTTTATGGCACAGATGTATAACGGGAGAGAGAGACATTCCTCAACAGAAAAAGCTTTATTTTATGAGGCAGATAGCGTCTGATGGTTTTGGTAGGAACTTTCAAACACTCCAATATGCTTCACTGCAGTGCATTTTTTGGCCTTTTAAGTCTACCATCGGGGAAAAGCAAAAATAAAAATATATAACTAACGTTAAAAATTAAGGGAAATCTTTTAGAACATCTGATTATCTTTTCTGTCTAAGACTTGAATGAAATTATGAAATCTAAAAATCAGATGGGACATCAGATGGGACAGTATGAAAATAAAGCAAAAAAAATTTTTTATAATAATATTACAAAATATACAAAAAGTTTGGGGTTAGTAGGTTGTTTAAATGTTTTTGAAAGAAGTCTCTTTTCCTCAAAAAGGCTGCATTTATTTGATCAAAAATACGGTAAAAACTGTAATATTGTGAAATATTATTACAATTTAAATGGACAGTTTTCTATTTAAATACATTTTAAATTGATAATCAGGATTATTTGATGAACAGAACAGCATTTATTTGAATCAGAAATATTTTTTAACATTATAAAATTTAACACGCCCTTGCTGAATACAAGTATTTCTGTCAAAAAACAAGTAAATAAGTAAATTGAATGGTAGTATATGAGGTTAAATAACGTATAAATCTCTCATTTTTATAGAACAACCCTGTTCAACAGCACCACCAGTGAATAAAGTTTTTTGTTTCTTTTTTTTGCCTCCCTTGAGCTCATTTTGATCTCAAAGTGGCGTGCATGTGAAGGGGTAACTGTGCAACAAGCGTGAAAACTCACGTGAGAGGAACCAGTTCCTCCACTGTGAATGGCTGATTACACTGTCAACTGAATATTGCCAGACTGTTAGGATTGCAACCATTCCACAAATTTGTGAAAAAAAATTTAAGAAGATGAATGGACCAATTTCAAAGTAAACAACTCACCCATATGGACATTACGGAGTAATTTCACATTTGAATCTAAAGGATCTTTGAGTAAAAATCTACCACACGCCACTGGTTTGCGTCTCGTGTATGAGGGGGTATAGCAGGAAGAGATGAATCTGTGACTCGTCATTACAGGTCTGCAGTGGGATCAGTGTCCACCAGACGGAGGTGGTGGATGAAAGCAATGCTGTCTAGGTAAAAAGACAAACTATAATCCACTCATCCTACAACCTCTCAGTTGGAAAGGGGAGAGAACGAGAAAAGAGACTTCCTGAAACACCACAGGCCTAGAGTTCTAGGAAAGGTTTCTTGCTTAAGTAGGACACTAACAAAATTAAATTAATTCGCATAAAACCGCATACACAAAAAGACAGAACACAGACTGAAATTAATATAACTCATTAGGGCTGGGTAAAAAATATCGATATCTCGATATTAATCGATTCTCATTTTTACGGAATGATATCGATTCTTAAATCCCAAGTCTAGCCTGTTTTCAGTTAATGGACGGAACATTGAAGGGCACTTCCCATCCAATATATCGCAATAAGCATTGTGCTTTGGTACTTTTAATATGAAACAAAGTCTCAGATTTCAAATTCTGTCCATTGTATTGCAGTATTCAAACAATAAATGCCATTTTGGCACTGTTTAATGTGGAGTGACAGATCGCTGTAGCGACTCAGTTCAACAGACGCGGCAACGTAGCGCACGTTAACTGATCATCTCCTCCACATTAATAACAGTTTCAGCACAAAATAAACATGAATAAACATCCGAAGGTAAGTTAAAAGAAAGAGTACAACTTTACAATCCGTATCCTGTCTCATGTAATCGCTCAATCAGTGTTTCAGCCGCGCAGAGATGTCATCTTGTAAACAATGTCACATTTACCTCAGAAAAACATATTCGGTGACCATAAACTCATTAGTAAGCTAGAAAAATAAACTGTAGAGAGGGGCATTTTACTAAATATATGCACCATATAACATATTCATTATACA